TGCCTTTCTTTGCATGATACTAAGCATTGTCTCAATTCCTTGCATAGGGCTAGGCACTGCCCTCAATTTGCATAAGGCTAAGCACTGCCTTCTTTGGGAGAGGCTAAGCGCGATCTCCTTTTCCTGCATGAGACTAAGCATTGTCTCCACTCCTTGCATTGGGCTAGGCACCGCCCTCACCTTGTAGAAGGATAAGCATTACCTTTCCTTGCCAGAGACTAAGCATTGTCTCCTTTCCTTGCATGAGACTAGGCATTGTCTCCTTTTCTTACATTAGACCAAGCATTGTCTCCACTCTTTTCATAGGGCTAAATACTGCCCTCACCATTGCATAAGGCTAAACGTTGCCTTTCTTTGCATGAGACTAAGCATTGTCTCCACTCCTTGGATAGGGCTATGCACTGCCTCACCTTGCATAAGGCTAAGCATTGCCTTCTTTGCCAGAGGCTAAACGCTGTCTCCTTTCCCTGCATGAGACTAAGCATTGTCTCCACTCCTTGCATTGGGCTAGGCACCGCCCTCACCTTGTATAAGGCTAAGCATTGCCTTTTCTTTCCAGAGTTTAAGCATTGTCTCCTTTCCTTGCATGAGACTAGGCATTGTCTCCTTCCCTTGCATGAGACTAAGCATTATCTCCACTCTTTGCATAGGGCTAAATATTGCCCGCACCTTGCATAAGGTTAAAACACTGCCTTCATTTAAGACTAAACACTGTCTCCATTACTGCATAAGGCTAAACATTGCCTCTCTTTGCATGAGACTAAACACTATCTCCGCTACACTACATAAGGTTAAGCACTATCTCCCTTCTTCGTATAGGGCTAAGCATTGTTCTCATCTCATACAAGACTAAGCCGTGTCTTGTCTCATCCTCGCATATGACTAAGCATCATCTGTTTCATCTATCAAGCGATCGACATCGCCATATCTTTGCATTTCATTGGCTGAAACATCGCCACATTGTCCGAAAGCGTCATAGTCCGAAGGCACCATCCTCATTGCCTGAAGACACCATTCCATGGCCTGAGGATCTCTCGGTACTGCACATCATTATTCAAGGGCGTCATAGTCCAGTGACACCATCCTCATGGCCCGAGTATACCATTTCATGGCCTGCGAATCCCTTATCATATGCTTCATGGCCAAGGACGTCATGGTCTAAAGACATCATCCTCATCGTCTGAAGACAACCTTCATGCTCCAAAGGGAATTGGTATCATGTTTAAATTTTCGCAATAACCCATATATATTCGTATGTGCCATGTTTTGAGTTTTGCAGGTAACTCGGGAGGTAACCGTTCTATAAACAGGAGCAATCTTCGCTCCGGTTTTCGTTCACAACGTTCACATCCTTTGACTACCTCAAACGTAACCAACTACCAGTAACTGACTACCTTTTACTCGATAACCATTCAGATATCTACCTGGGGATACACCCTTAATGTTCATTTTGCATTCATGACTCCACCTAAAATTATCCATTACTTACAACACTATCCTACCCAAAAGAATCTTTTCGAAACATACGACCACTCTTATAACAACTCCATCGATTTGTTCGTCATTGTATCCAGAACTACACACGACCTGATTTCCATAATACTAGGGATATGTAGGCAACTCAGGAACCAGGGTTTGGCCCCCATTTAAAAAAAAACATCATTCCTCACTCATTTCGGACAAAATTGGTCATCAGTTTCTTTACCCGACAATTCTTTCATCATTCCCGGGTAAAGAGGGGCAACTGTTGATACCCAATTTTGCCCTCATAGTATATATACTTTTAAAATATTATTTTTGCATCATTACTTAATTTACAAGATTTATACAAATATTTAATAATTTTTTCATGATTTTTAGAGCTTTAAAATTAATTTTTTTGCATTTAAATTACTTAAATACCATCCCTTTAAATTATTTATCATGACTTAATCATACAAATTTATCATTTTATATCCATGTGTGTGTTTAATAATATTTTACTTCACTTTATATCATTACATCTATATTCATGTACAAATATGTTTTATTTACATTATTTGTGACAAAATAGGCTTTTATATTTTATAATTATAAGTTATCATTTTCAATCATTTTAGTGTATATAAAAAAAATATTTTATTATTTATTATTAATTATTTTTATTTAAATAATTTTGTATTTAAAATATAGCCTAAGTTATACATATTTTGGACCACATTAGTGGCCCAAAACTACTCAAATCCCTGGTCCAATCTCCCCATCCCAAGCCAATTAACCTCAACCGGGTCGGTACCCGCTTAAACGACCCGCCCCACTCCCATTTTGATCCTGGCCATTGATCTCAAATGATCAACAACCCAAAATAATTCCTCCACTTTCCTTATACCCTCTCACCCAAACCCTAACCCCATTTCCTCACTCCAACCGCCTCTAAGCCGTTTCTATTCCGTCTGTCTCTAATAAAACCTAGTAGCCGCCTTTTGATTTCTCTCCGATTCCAACCCAAAAATGGAATCAATCCGAGATTCACTTACCTATTTTGTGATACTTTACTATTGTGTGCGTGCCTATGGTGTTACTTAATCCTTGCCCTATTTTTGGCAAGAACTACCTTTCAAGAGCAGGCCTGATTGACTCTGATTTTGTGAAGATCTGGATGATCTTTCGTGTATATACACTCTACAGTGGACGATTCTTGCATTATTGGTTCTATTCAAGACCGTTAGACCCAACTAGGGTTTGAGATTTTTCTTTTTCCTTACTGATTTTGATTGCATGTGATATATTCTTTCTTTTCTTGTGTTTGACTGATGATTTTCCATGTTCGTCTACTCAATTTGAACACTATATAAACTCTTCCCCAATTTCTCCTCTGGACAGACTTATTACTGCTAGTACACTCACTATACTCTTCTCTCACTCGTTCACTTCTTATGAGATACTTGAATATTTTCTGGAATCGTTGAATCCTTGGCCAGCTGAAAGCCAAGGCCATAATATTGTTAAAACAACCTCCTGTGGTGCAAGCACTGCTCGGAGCCCTTTTCGAGACTCTTGTGAACTCTGAAGCATCGGGGATATGGGGTTCTCTTGCTACCAGTATTCTAACTCCTCATTCTTTTGTTCGTTTAACTTTTTTACTGGTTAGTATCCTTAACTCTTGCAATGTTAACTATTTTCCTTTCTGTTTATCTATGACGTATGTGTTCTATGTGTTAATGTTGTTTAAATTCTATAAGCATGATTCAGTTTCCCTGTTATTCATGGATCCTTGATATTATACTGTTATGATATTGTTTTATAATCCTCTGCAATTTCATATTCTTTATTAGTTGAATTCAGTAGGTTTCAACACATGTAAGATGCTTTCATTATTAGAATGGATTCTAGCTTTCTTAGATGTTTCTAGACTAATGTGGGTTCTCTACCTTGTCTTGTATCTCTATGTTTGTATCCTAGACCTTGTTAAGTTCTTCTTCCCCAATATGATTGATCGCTAAGATTGTATTAATTAGCTAAAGCATGTTTCCATTTAAGTTCAGTTGCATGTTTGGTTTAGAATGGCTTCTAGGGCAAATTGCTATGTTATTTTCTCTGCCGCCTAGGTAATTGGTACGAAAGGTTATGCTTGCCTGTCTCATCCCCTTTTAAGTGCTGTATGTTCTCATGAGTGAGTACACTGTTGAGGTTTATGGTAAACCATGCCATTAGTTTGTTGCTATGCTGCTTATGGTCATTTTCATGTGAAATTGCATATCCCTCTAACTATGATTGTTTCGAATAAGACTCACTTGTTTAAAATCTTTTTCTGATATTTTGGTTAATGTCTTGCGCTAAACTTGATTTCTGAGAAATAAGTATATGTTTGTGTTTGTCCTGTCAACTCTACAGACTTGCCTTTTCAGCCCTCTTAATATGTAACTACCTTTACCTTTGTTGAATAATTGTTCAATATGATGTTAGTTCTTCTATGTCAAACTTGCTATGCCAAACTTGTCTACCCAGTTGGTATGTTCAAGCCCTCTTGTTTAACCAATCTTGTTCCCTTAGCTTCTAAGAGTTATGATCACTGTTAATAGACTTTAGGACTATCAATTGGTTATCATGTATGGTCTCTCCTTTCAAGTTTGGTATGAGTTTGTGTATGGCCCTGGGTGTATAGCTGATACATTCTCACTCTAAATCATGCTGGGTCCTGGGTTAACTGTTCGTGTGAAAGGAGAAGCTTGTTGAAGGCCCAGGTGTTACTGGGTTATATTCTTTGGGGCTTGCTCTATGTTAGGGGTGGCCATATATCGGTTAGAACCGAAAAGACCGACCGAACCGAAAATATTTTTATTTCGGTTTTGGTTATTCGGTCTTTTCGGTCGGTTTCAATTTTAAAATTTTAAAATTCAGTTTTTCGGTTCGGTTGTCGGTTATTGATTTATTTTGGTCGGTTAACTGAAAACCCGAATTATTAGCAAATGGATTCTTTAAACTATATATAGGCTAAGCCCAATATAACAAATACTAGACCCAATTTTAAGTTCCATCAAAGACGGCCCACTCTTAACGAATCCTAGGCCCACGCTTAAAGACTTTTAAGTTTTAAGGTCATCAGCTTTTGCTTTTCCCATTCTTAAGCTTTTCCCAAATACGCTAGGGTTCTTTTTCTTCAAACTTCTCTCTCTAGTCTCTATCACCATTGATACACTGGTGCGGTTGTGCCGGTAAGCTTAATTTTTGTTATATTTCTCTCATTTCTTCTTTTTTTTTCTTTGTCCTCGCCGATTTTCTCTTCTTTCTCTCGTTTTAGTAAATTTTTTCTTTTTTGTTTTTGCTAAAAAATAGTAGTTAAAGACTTAGAGGTGCATGTATATTGTTAAAAGAAGTCTTGACTCTTGAATTTGATGTCCATTTTCTGTCTCCTTGCTCGATTATTGTTTTTGTTCTTGTTTCTGTCTCCTCCTCTAACTTCCTTTTTGGTATTATTATAGCTCAGTATGTTATTGTTCTGCTTGTATTCGTTTTCGTAGATGGAAGAAAATGGAAGTAGGGTAAGCGAAGTCTGCGAAGGTGGGGGTTCAAATGATAGCATACCTAACACTGAATGTCTCAGTCTTGATGAAGCTCCAAAGAAAAGGAAAGTCATGCAACCTAGATCTGATGCTTGGAACCATTTTGAGAAGTATGATGATCCTAGTGGAGCTAAAAGAGAAAAATGTAAGTATTGTGAAAAAACTTATGCAGCTGCTACGAAAGGTAATGGTACTACATCAATGAACAATCATCTCACTAAGTATCCCAAAATGCCCCGTAAAATAGAAAATAATCAAACACAACTAAGTTTTCTACTAGCTTCAAATGGGACAAATGAAGGGGTGCTTACCACTTGGAAATTTGATCAAGCACTTAGTAGGAGAGCTTTAGCTCAAATGATAATTTTGTTTGAACTGTCATTTAGTTTTGTTGGAAAGGAAGGATTTAAGAAGTTTATAGGAGTCACAATACCTCAATTTCAAATTCCTTCTCGTAGAACATTGACAAGAGATTGTTATGAACTTTATTGTGAACAAAGACAAAGTTTGAAGAAGTCCTTCAATGAAGCACGTCCAAAAATCTGTCTTACAACAAATACTTGGACTTCTATACAAAGAATAAACTATATGTGTCTTACTGCTCACTTTATTGAGAGCGATTGGAAATTTCATAAAAGGATAATAATCTTTTGTCCTATCTCTAGTCATAAGGATGATGATATGGCGGCGGTTATTACTAATTGCTTGCTTGATTGGGGTTTGGAAAATATATTTACTATAACGGTAGATAATGCTAGTTCCAATGATGTGACAGTAAGAGAAGTGTCTAAACAATTGACTACTTGGGGAACTAATATAATGAATGGTAAACACCTGCATGTTAGATGTATGGCTCACATACTTAATCTCATTGTACAAGGTGGGTTGAAAGAAATTGGTGTTTCTATCGAGAGAGTTAGACAAGCTGTGAGATACATTAGACTATCTCCCGCTAGGATTAGAAAGTTTAAAGAATGTTGTGAATCTCAAAAGTTAACTTCCAAGAGAACATTATGCTTAGATGTTTCTACTCGATGGAACTCTACATACATGATGTTAGACACAGCATAACAATTTGAGCTTGCCTTTGACAAATATAGTTTCTTTGATACTGGATTGTTGCATCATCTTCGTACCTATGTATGTGAAAATGGAACTAGTGCAGGTGTTCTCACAAGTGATGACTGGGATAATGTAAGAATAACGGTAAAATTTATTGAAGTTTTTTTTTTGCTTACTTTGAGGGTCTCTGGTTCTATTTATGTCACTTCCAATGTACATTTTGTTGAAATTTGTGAGCTTGATCTTATTTTGAAAGAGTGGATGGAACATGAAGATGCTAGTTTGAGAGAAATGGCAAAAAAATGAAAGAAAAATTTGTCAAGTATTGGGGTGAACCTGAAAAAATGAACAATATGATCTTTATTGCATCAATTTTGGATCCCCGTAACAAGCTTGACTATGTTCCTTTTGCAATTGTGAGGATGTTTGGAGAAAAAGAAGGGAAGAAAATGATTTTAGAAGTGAAAAATTATATGGATTCTTTGTTTGATTATTATGTAAGGAAAAATTCAAAAGGATCTACATCTGCTTCATCTGGAAACACAACAGCTACCATGAGTGGTTATGGTAGCTTTTTGAAAAGAGGAACAATGAGAACGAAATTGGAATTTGAGAAACATAAGGAAGTGACAGGAGGTTTAGGTGCTAAATCAGAGTTAGATAGATATTTTGCTGAAGATATTGAGCCTGAAACGGATGAGTTTAAAATCTTAAAGTGGTGGAAAATCAATGAGCCTAGATTTTCCATTCTTGCGGAGATGGCTCGTGATGTGTTAGCCATTTCTATTTCAAGTGTTGAATCAGAATGTGCATTCAGTACTGGAGGTCGCATTCTTGACTCGTTTAGGAGTTCGTTGATGCCTAAACTGGTGCAATCTCTTATTTGTCTTCAAGATTGGCTTAGAAGTGAACCTATTCCTATTAAAGTTGAGGAAGACTTGGAGTATCTAGAACAACTGGAACTTAGTAATTATTTTGTGTTTTGCATTTATTATATTACAAATAGTTTACTTAACACTGATGCATGACAAAGTTTTCTTCAATATTTTCCTTAGATTTGGCTAATTGTGCAAAAGATTCAACTATTATTGACATATAGTTGCTACCTATGGCATGTGTGGTGAGTTGATAACCTTCTGTATATTTGATGATATAACATTGATATACTTTATTATAAATCAATTGTGTTTTTGACTTATAATTATGTCTTTTTTTTCCAAAGGTTTGATCATGGCGCCTAAATAGAACTTACGGATTATGTATCTTCTTCGTAAATGCTTAGATCAACAAGTAAATAGACAAGTGATGCTGGAGTAATAACTTGTTAGTGAGCTCTTTTGGTAGACAAGTTGATGCTGCAGTAGTACTTAATGTAGTTATTTTGTTGGTTTTGAGACTTCAGCAGCATGAAAACTTTCTAACTTCTGGATTACTCTTTTGGTTATATAATATTGCTTGTACTAAACAGTGATTTCCTACTAGCTGCCCAAGCTAACTTTTAGATATAATGAATGAAGTTCATGTGCAAATTATCACATTGGCATATTTCTAGGTTTTTGGCAGCAAAGCAGCATAGATTCTGGATTTTTTGTTCTCTCATGGTTGAATATTGGACATATGTTGATGCATATTGAATTTTATATGGGTATTCTATTTCTTGATTATGTGCAAATTATCACATTGGCATGTGATTTTATAAATAAACCAGATGGCTGCTGCTTTTCGAGCTCGTGTTGGTGGTCTATTGTTCGCTCAAGAAGAAATGGCATCTTGGTATATTTTAAAAAGTGTACATGCTTTTATCTCATTCTTGGTAGACCAAAAGGTTTTTGGGAGATAATAGTCCTTATCGCTATATTTGTGTTACTAAGATTATAGTATATTTTCTCTACAAATCAGACTTTTTAATCAAGAATACTCCTCAGCAACACAAATTAGATTTATCTAAATAAAAGAACAGATTTATAATTTATCACATTCAAGCAACACAAGAAGTCCGAAATTTTGGAAAAAACCAACAAATTAGTCAGTCCAATTATTACGTAGAGGAAGCCCAATATGATATGTTCAAACCGAAAACCGAACCGAAATAAATCGAACCAAAATTAGAAAACCAAACTAAACCGAACTTATTTCAGTTCGGTTTCGGTTACTACTCTTACAAAACCGAAAATCAAATAACCGAACCGAATTTCTTCAAACCGAACTGAACCGACCGAACGCCCACCCCTACTCTGCGTATTGGGCATGTAGCCTTTTAATATATAACATTCGCACCTGTATTCATTATTTTTGGGTCTGTAATAATTTCTGAACAAAAATAGATGAGAAAATTAGTAAAAGAGGGGTAGGGTACACTAATTCTTACATAAATGGGTAGAAATCATACATATAGGATCTATGTGATTTATTCGTTATTTAGTTCACATGTTTTAACTTCATGAGTAGAAATCCTTCCTATAGGAGTCATACACACACACACATCAGTTAACTTGCCAATGCATGCTATTTCAAGTATCCGATGTTCCAATCTTCACTACTGTATTTTCTTAGATGAAATGACTATAGGTGTAGCAATGCAATATTCTACTTACCTAGGTTCCATGCCTATAGGACTTCGAATGATTAATCTACCTCAATTATCATTGTACTGCTCATGCCTATAGGTTTAACAATCAATCAGCTGCCCATATCGTTTGTATTGCTCATCTAGATAGCATGCCTATAGGGATAAAACTAAATAAAATCAATGTCAATCGCCAACTATTAGATATCATGCCTCTAGAACAGTGTCACCTGCCTAACGAACTTGTCTATAAAATCAACGTTGGTAGTTCATGGTTCTGGAGTCGTTTCACTACCTTTTGCGAACAATATAGAAATCATGCCTATAGGTTTTTATAATCTGCAAATCCGTTGTCTATATATTGCTAAAATAAGAATCTCTTAGAAACCATGTCTATAGGACTTATAATGATTTAATCGGTACGTTGGCCTAAAATGCAACGTCGCCTGTTTGATATTGAAATCATATAAAGATCATGCCCATAGGACCAAAGGATTCTATGTCTCAAGTTCGAAACGTTCTACTGCCTAATTTGAAAATCAGTCTGCGTGCTTCTTTATTTACGTGCGGAGGCTAACATGAGCTACTCTTTGCTATTATGTGCAGTCCTCTTTATTTTTTTGAATGTCGCTTAGTTTTATCATTTTCGAGCAACCTAAGTAAAGTCTAGAATCACCCAAATAGTAGGTCCAAATCTTTCTGGGCCATAGGCATGGGACGGGTAGCGCACGCATAGGGTACGACTCAGAATTGAATTAGAACGCTCTTAGGTAAACAACTTCAACATAGTAATCGGGCAGCAGGAGATGATAGTCTCTGCCCGCTGAATAATATGAGTAATTCCTATAATAAAGGGAGTTGCGAATTATTATCTATGTTGCACGGGGTGATCCTTTAGGCTAAAAACTCTCCTTTATATACTTGCTCAGTCATATACCATTGTAGTCGCATCCTTGTAGTCCTTAAAGATCTGTACCCAATTCTCATTGTGTTATAAAGAAACTCTTCAACTTTTATATTTCTTTGTTCATCTGATCACCTAGCCCAATTACATAATCCACATAGTCTTAAGTTCGGCCGGGACCCACAGTTGTGGACCTCGAAGAGTGCCTAACACCTTCTCTTTGAGGTAATTTGAGCCCTTACCCGATCTTTGGTGGCGTTGACTTATCAAATAGAGTTATTTGCAAATAGATTCCCTAACGCACCTTAAAATCTATAGGTGGAGACTCTTCTCTTTTAATAACCATTTAAAAGAGTTGTCATACGTCGAAACCCGATTTCGCAAGAAAAAGGGGGCGCGATACACCCTGCACTTCATGTGCAGATCCAGGTGATCCCTGACACAGTGGGTGTTGATTCTTTCGCATAGTTGATTTTTCGGAGATTTAGAGGTAGATGTCGTATTTCGCAGACCTTGTCTCTCCTTCCCTATCTCCTTGATTACTGTATTAGGTCTCAGACTATTATAGACCGTGTTGTGCAGACTTGTAATGTATAGATGCTCATGTACTCAGTGACACCGGATTTTGGGAGTGTATTTATATCCAGTATTTGTGGGGTTTTCTCTTAAACTTAATTATTATATTTTCCGTATTTAAAAGAAATTGTGGGTTATTGATGTTGTCGGCTTGCCTAGTATTGAGATAGGCGCCATCACGACAGGTTAGAATTTTGGGTCGTGACATTTATGATCTTTTCTAATTTTTTATCTTGTCCGCTTGTCTGCTACTATCTCCGAAAAGCAACGAAAGTCAAATTTCTTTTTTTGCAAATACAAAGAGAACTCCATTTTCCGTAATATCAGTAAGTTCAAAGTTCAAATTGCAGGTTAGTCATTCTTTTTGTTCCTCTATGTAAAAAACTTTATTCTTTTCAACTCAAGTTAATTGTGCTTGTAAGTAACGTATAATTGATTGTTTTGACTAGTTTTTGTGGGGATGGAGCACATCTATATATATTTTTCACATATTTATAGTTTTCTTCAATTTTTATACAATTTTACTTATTTATAAATATTTATTGTAATTATATTATTTTATGAAATATTAAAAAAACTAAATACTCATGGGGCTTACGCCTCGCTGAGGTATATATAAAATGCCTCGCCTTACGCCCACACCTTTTAAAACACTGGTCAAAACTAGTTTATTATAGACAACTTTACTAAATACAGCTCTTCGAAATTTTTGATTGAAAATTTGAAAATTTGAGTTTTCAATAATGGATTATTCCTGAATGACACACATAATCACAAAATAAATACATTCACAATTTGCTATTCTCAATTATGGGCTTTTAGTTTTGTTTTCTCTTTACTTCCAAAAATAAATGCTCCACTCATTAGTATTTGGCTCCTCTCCATTTCCTCAAGTTCTTACTTAGTTGAGTGACACGTGTCACATTTTAATATATATTATATTTACTAAAACCAAATTTTAAC